GGTTTTGGTGAAGATGACAAAACAGAAGCTTCAGAATACTTTTGAAATTCTCCAAGGTTTCCAGTTTGACCATCCCCACCCAGAGAGCTCTTCCAATAACACAAAACCTTGCAGACTTTTGTAATGGCTACATGAAAATAAACCTTTCTATCACAGATTCTGACCCACCTGAGATTTGGTTGTTGGATAAAGGATGCCCTCATATGCCTATTTTGAGATATCCATCGCTCCATCTCTGATTGTCTTCTTATCTACACTGTCTGCCCCTAAATTCATATTATGTTTTGTTATGAAACTTAATAAAACTTTCCCTCGCTCATCTGAACAGAGACAGAAAATCTTCCAAAAGCTGCATTAATGCTGAGGCCTGAGAGACCACCAAACTGTGATTCCTCTGGAAATGATTTTTGCCTTCTCTTTAAAACTGCTGGAACAATATTTCATCCCTGATGTTGGGTTGATGATAAAAGCATCTCGGATGTCAGCTGAATAAAACCAAAAACATTATTCTACCCATATCGGTCTTGTCCTGTGCTACTCTAACGCAGAGAGGGGGGGGGTACAAGGACACAGAGACAAAAGCAGCCTGGGCTGCTTGTCTCCAGTTTCTGCTTCTCGGGGAAAACAAAGAAACATCAATTATTCCACTTCCTGGTTCTGGTTGTTTTATTGTTGCAAGCCCAGGCAATTTCAGTATCAGGTGGACGTTGCGATGATGGGATGTTTTAATTATGATATTTCTATTGTCGGGTTTATGTGCAGTGTTGCCCCAGCTCTGTGTAAAATGGATCTGCACTGCAGCTGTGTGTGTCTCCACCGCTGAAGAACTGTGGTGACAGCCAAGCCAAACTCTACAGGCACATGAAATAAATCGGTTTAATTACCACAGGGAAAACTCTGTCTTTTTCTGTTGGCTCAGTCCTCGACATCTTTTTTTATTTGGGCTCAAGTTTTTCTAAATGCTCCTTTTGAATTGAGACACAAAGATGAGCTGCCACTTCATGAAAGAACTAATCTGTGGGTGTTTGTAGATGTAATTAAGGCGGTCATTAAAATACCCTTGAGGGTACGGCTCCCGTCTACTTGAACCCTCTTGCAAAGGCTTATGTCACAACTCGGTCACTCCGGTCATCAACAGATTGTTGTCTAGCAGTCCTTCTATCTTTAGGAAACTCTTTAAGAAACTCTTAAAGACCAACCTCTTTGAAGAGCATCTCTTACCCTAACTGTTACCCATACATCTGTACCCCTTCAGCTCTTCCCTCTCTCTCTCTTTGCTTTCACCACTGATTCTGACTAGCGATTTTCCTCTTGAGACCTTATTGTCATATTGATGATAACTGTAAAATTGTGTAAAAATGCATAAACATAGTGACTGTAAGACAGTTGTGTCTGTCAGCCGCTGAGGGTCTGAGAAAGGGCGCTCTTAGAAAGCTCACGGGGAATGTGATGGGACGTGCAATTTTTCCACTGAGACAAATACTGCTGTAGCCTCTCAGATCAGAACAGAGTGTGGTTTGGGCTTGTTTATTGATCTCTTTATCTTCTTTTGTACAACTGAAAGGGCTAGTAAATTAAAGGACTTTTAACTTACCAAAACTTGCAATAGAAATAACTCTCTGCCATTCTGAAAGTTGAGGCTATTGGCTATTGATTCAAATGTTTCCTGAAAGAATAGAAGCTTGGGAGCACGTTAATTACAACTCACTAAAAGCCAGCCTTCATCTCTGCAGCTCACTGAAGAAACTTTACAATGACTGAAAGTTATTGGGCATCAAAGATAAGGAAGAATAATTGTTTGTACAAATCTTTTGAATTCAGTGGTTAAAGACACTGAAAGGAATGGCCATCATCATTTAAAGACATATTTTTTTTAATATGCCTTCTGGCATCACCCTCAGTGTTCCACCATCTTGTCCAAACAAGGCTACTTCTGATCTCAAACATGTTAAAGATCTACTCATCTGCTGCCCACAAACCAACCAGTGACATCATTCATCATTTAAGTCAAATCAAGAAGATTTCTTAGCATGTCCACAACTCCTCGGCTGGATTTGAAGAAGAGCATCTGAACTGAACTTTTCGGCTTTTTAATGTTTCCCGTGTTTTCCTGTGACAAGCGAGCCGCTAAAGTAAATATCAGATGAATTCCCTGGCCACTTCCTGGTTGAAATGGAGGTCATTCTTGCATGCTTTCCACCAAAAGGCCTGCAGGTGCTCTGTGTAAAAGCAAAGGACAAAGGTTCAGTGAAAGGTCACAAGTCCAGGATTTAACAGCCACGCTTACTGTGGATTAAAATGTTTTAAAAGATAGTAGAAGGAAAATAAAAGCTCCCACACAAACACGAGCTGCGTGCATTAAGACTAACCCCAACCAGCTGCATACAGCCACCGACCAGCTGAGGTGAGTCAGTTTGACTGAGTCTTCCTCAAACTGCCCGTGGTGTCACATCTCGCTGGGGGGGGGGGGCGTCTATCAACTCTCCTAAAACGAATACCCCACAGCAGCTTCACCGCTCTGCCGCTTGTCAATTCCACTCACATAAAAGCAGGCCGCGGCTGTCTCTGCTGCAACCTGCAGCCATTCAATTCCACCAACCCACAAATAGAAGGATCCCAGAAAGGGAGGGGAGCGGGGGTATTTGAGCTCACCGTGCCTTTCTCTCCGTCTCCGTTTTTCCCTCAAAAGCCATTGTTCTTGCGAACATTTAGCACAAGATGCGCCTGCTGGCCTTTATTTCTTTTCTCCCTGCCTGTGACAGGAATTAGAAGGAGACAAAGGACAGTCGATTTCACCCTTTTTTGCACGGTAAAATCCTCACATGCTGAAAATGTTAAGAGTGCTCTAAAGTTTTGTAAAACACAGTCTTTTCACCGCCTAGGGATTATTTCTAAATGCCAAGAAAATCAAAGCTATAGAATTTAGAAAATTACTCCCAAACAAAAGAAAAAGAAAAGACTCTGTAAACACAGCTTGCCCCGAAAGATTAGCATATCAGAGATGCTCCATTCTCTGGTAAACACACCTATTAGTGGCATTTGGTTAGGCAAAAAACTGTGGCTCGTATCTCCCAAGGCCATAACGTATTAGCAGAGACAGAAATATTTGGAAAATGTTTCTCCCAAATACTAATTCAAGTTAGATGTCATTTTTATGGACACATTCTTGGAATGATTGAAATTATCAAATAACTGAAAGAGCATTAAAATCATGTGGGCCAGAGTGAGTGCAAACTCCTGTCTGTTCTACAGTATTCCAACATTCTTCCAATTTAATACAAGAAAGAAAGACATGCAATTGTTATAATTAATTCATTGTGTTACTACTGAAAATAATTAGTCTTAGACATATTTCATCCATGCAGTCTTTTGTTTTGTTTTTGGGGGGTTTATTGCATTATTCAAGAGGAGATCAAGAAAGCAACAGTTGTCCCAGCTAACACTCCTTTACTTCTGCTGTGAGATCCTGAGGCTTTCCCCTCCCAGACAAGATGGCATATATAGGCCTTCCTGAATGTGCTTGGCTTTGCGGGGATAGTGGTGCTGTACTATTTTCTTTTCATCCCCCGATAGGAATACCAAAAACTGAACATTTCCCCCTGTTCAGTATGTCTGTGAGAGCTAGAGTGAGTCAAAACTGGAACTCCTAAAGGTGGATCTGCCACGTCAGCCCACAGAGAGTATATGGGCTGATATATTTATAGCTTTAAATCTGACAGTTGCTCTGAATCATGACGCTCCGTTTTCTTGAAAACTTATTTTTGAGCCGATCTTGCTATTGAAACCAACAAGTATAAGGTATACACTCAATCGCGTTTCAAATGACTCCATTGTGGTTGTAGGTTTTAATCGCCACCAAAAGGAACACAGCGCCTCGGAGCACAGGCTAATTCCACATGAGGATGCTGCCCATCGGGCTGCAAGGCTTCTTTTATCAGGAGGATCAACAACTTTAATAGATTAAAAAAAGAGGAGCCTGAATCATTTCACCAGTTTGCTATAAGTTGCCGGCTCACTCGTTTTGCGGGGCTATTCTTTCTGGTCAAGATGACAAAGTAGCCTAATTTTCTCGGAGAGTGGAGATTTGTAGCGGCTGTTGTTCTACACAGCCTTCAGGATGGAATGTACTGACACATTTTTTTCGTATCATATGTTACAGGCATTTGCACTAAAATGTATTGGTTTTTACCGGTTAGAGCAGATGATCTGTTACAACTTGTTGTAATTTAGATAATGCATGTTCTTTAAGACGGACCTGCTCAAAAAGATGCCCTCATTAAAGGAGCGACTAAATATCAACAACAATCAAACAATCATTTCAAAAGACATAATAGATCATCTAATGATGACTGACAGGCAAAAGCCCATCTGAATCCATCCCAAACAGACACAGGCCGCTGAGTAATTATACTGTACAGCATTGGGTTTTTTTTAGAAGCTGAATACTACTTAAATCTCTCTGGTGAGTCCATAACTATGCAGAGAAAGAGCTCCATTCCCATTTTCAAGGATTAAAAGACAGAGAGTGACACCTGTGACATTGCTGCGCAGAGGGGACACAAGGGGTGTTTAAAATAAGAAAAACAGCTCTGGATTAATGAGGAGACAGCCTCTGAGCCCGTTGCACCAGTAATGTTGCAGTATAAGAACTAATCTGAGACAGGACCTGTCCAATGACATCTAATGGTGATGACACAACAGCACACAGTGTCTCAGTTTTACATCCAGCATGGGCCAAAGCAGGTGACTGGATTTGGACTTAGTATTAAGACCCTAAAAAGCAGAAATGCAGGGGGGGGAAAAGAAGTGAAAACTCTAACTTGTAAGCAGGCGTTCGGCGGATCTACCGGCTGCCGCGGAGACGGGACGCAGACAGCCAGTCACTCAGACAAAGAGCGACGTGCGGAGAAATGGGAATAGACATGTGCTTTCACACTCAATCCCAGCAGAGATGGCCAAAGAGACATCAGATAAACTAGATCCTGGCTGTCATAGCACACCTACCTCCCCCTCCCCGTTCATTTCCAATACTACAGTCATTTTTAAGACAGAAAGCAGGCTCTTCGTTTTACTGACCTAAAGTTTGAGAGGACATTTGATTGTTCTATGGTGTTGGATTTAATTGTCACGGCCATTAGACCCCTCCTCAGTGAGGACCCCAGTCCGGCATCGTTGATCTCAGAAAGATGAGGCGCTCAGAGACTAGACGCTGCTCACTTAACTGATCCTTGTAGAAGACAAAAGGATGATTAAAATCACCACGGGGCACCGAGTAGCTTACGCTCCGCGCCGGTCTCTTTTTATTCTGTGAGTTCCAGATAGATTAGGAGAAAAAGCAGCATTACGCTGCCATTTCTCATCACACCGCAGATTTTCAGACACCATAAAGACCCCTGTGTGAATATTTGCCCCGGCCTCCTGGGGCCCGGCCAGTGAGCTTCTGCTCAACGGCCAGCAAAAGAGCGGAGCGCAAAGAGGCGGCTGGAGACGAGACGTGCACAGAACCACATCTCAGTCCTGTAAGTGAGCAAGGCAGGAACAAAACGTCTTGTTTAAATCGATTAGCCATGCTTCAGCTGCAGCACTTTGAAGACAGAGAAATACTCTCTGAGGGGAGAATATCCCTTTGAGAACATCGACACTTCCATTTTGTCCATACAGTTTGGGGTCCTAGATGTCAGACAAAGGGAAACTAAGGAGAATCTTCAAGTTTTTTTCTTTTTTTTTTAATTAAGGAAAATGTAAATGCGGCATTTGTCCTTTTCTAACCTGCTAAAAAAAAAAGAGTGTGAATAAAAGAAGAAAAAAAGGGGGAGAGCAGGATCACAGGGAGTGGCAGTGTCTCTTGAACCTCAGCCAACCAGCAGGGGACAGCATTTGAGGTGAGAAGCCCTGAGGAGAACAGAGAGAGGGAGGAATGCCAAGACTCGCTGTTAAAAAGCCAATTAAACTATTGGCCCATTGTGAGGGAGGTGAGGGTGGTGGTATGGGCTCCAGCTCGCTCCAGGGGTCCACTCTGGGCCTTCAGAGCGCCCGCACTCCCTGAGGTCATTTTTCCACTGAGTGGAACAAAAAAAGGCAGATGAGGGGCCTTTCAGTGGCGCCGCTGATCTACTGTCCTTTCTGCTTCCTGACAGGCTCAGCGTCAGCCCGGGAAGAAATAAAAGCCATTCCGGAATTCCCTGGGCTCTGAGCTGGCCGTGATGAGTTCCTCACGCGGTGGCTACCAGCGGGGCTGAGTGATCTACGGCAGACGGGTGCTTTTCGCACTCCATTGGTTCGTTGGATTTGGAAAACGAGGGGCTGTCGACTCTGAGTGACAGGAGCAGCTGCGGCACGAGAGGCGGGCCATTAAAAAATCTGCTGCTTGTATTATTTATTCTACTTCTACGTCTAAACCTGTACAAGAGCCACGGAGACGTTCTTCCAAACTCTTAACGCCGCGTCTACTGGCAGGGGCTCAACACATTTGTTAGACCTTTCAACACAACATCAAAATCAACTTTAAAACACTCTGAAGAACACGGAGATGGTTCCCACCGGGGCCTGCAAAGCATGGCTCTCTTTACACGCCATTTCACAGAGATGTGCTGTAACTGTGCAGCTGAGTACAGATCCTGGAACACCTCGGAGAAGTCTGCAGAGCAGGAACGTTCTCCTGGCCCACGCGCAGTGTCGGAGCAGGAGGACCGAGAGAGAGCCGGCCATTTGTTTTACACTGGCCGCTGGCCAAAAGGATCAGGCCCACTACTGTGATCCCTGACTTCACATGTGAACTCTGCGAGAACATTTTTCTCCTTTAAACGACTAGAAATGAGAAGTTTGTACCTCCAGTAATTTGTTTCTGAGGGAGAAGCGGTTACCTCTGAGCCAGGCATTTCTAAAAATCCTCCACATATCTCCAGTGCACATGACCCGCTTCATGACTGTAGCAATGCAGCAGTAGACACTTAAAGTATTCCGCGCCGATGGCTAATTCTCAGGTCATCTGTGTGTGATATTCAGGGCTGGAGTCTGCAATAACAAAGCCGCTCAGAGAGGGCCGGAGACATCCGCACCCCGCTGGATCTCGATTGCAGCTCTTCCCCGGCCGGTCAGACTCTCCGATGGAAGCCCCCACAGGCCGCTTCAATCTCCCCCTCACTTATTCAGCAGCAGCGGAAGGGAGCCGTGCAGAGGGAGCTAAAGGTGTACGGGCCCATGATTCAGCCTCATTGAGAGCTGACACCGTGGGGGCTACAGCTGCCGAGCGATCTGACCCCACGCCGGGATGAGGACGGTTTATCACCGCTTGGTTCTCCTCCTCATCGGCAACAGCCATTTCCACTTAACATGCGATGACAACCCCCGCTCGAGCCTTTCATGTGGAATGCGGCTGTTATGAATGGTATCTTTATTAATCTATTTTTAATTAATTTTTTTATCTAAGATGACCCAATTCTCTTTGGAGCGTCGACGCCGAGAGACATTTGAGCACATAAGAAAATTCCCACTGAATTCACGTGTACGTGTTGTTGCCAAATCAGAGGAAAGTGGCTCACTGGCTTCCTATTTGTCTTCCAAAGACAATATTTTCTGACTTTTTTCCTCCAGCTAAATCAATAAAGAACAACATTTGGATTTGTTCTCTTTCTTTCTCTCTGCCTAACAGACTGATCATTCCAGGAAAAATATCAGTTCAGCTGTAGCTGTGTGCAATGTGCCATTTTGTTCCAAAATTGCAGTCAATGAGACCTCCCACTGCCACACCTCCAAGAAAGGAATCGCTTTCAGGGGGGCATAAATGCCCCATGTTCTCAATGGCAAAGGTTTAAGCTTTTAAAGATCAGCGCAATTTAGGAAAGTTGAGGAAATAAGGCAACCCTTTCAAAACAGTCCTAAATTCAGTCTTCTACTTTTGTGTAATTACTCCATCAATAAAAGGTGCAAGAGTGTCTTTGAAAGGGTCTTGAAAGGAAAAATTAATTATTAAAGGAACTGAATGCCTTATAGCACAGTTTTCCTCCGACTAGTGCGATTCACAATATACACTTAAAGAGTTCTATTACATTATTTTCCAGGCTTAATAGGACAAAGACAGCATTCAAGGAGCCATTTCCATACCAGTCCTCACACTGGGACTTTTATAGCTTCATTTCTCAGCCGAGGTAAGATAAGTTAAGGGTCTTAATCAGGGATCAAGTAGTTTGAGACTTCTTACTGAGAAGATTAAAGGTGAAAATACCAGGGGACACCTGGTATTAGATTTGAGTTAGGGGCTGAGCAGCTTTTTTATGAGGCTTTGCTTCTCTAATATCCTGCCTCCACCATGCGATAGTTAAAGAGACCCCCACTGGTACACTTCACATTTTCTCAGCACAAATCTGTCAAATTTGTGTTCATGGAGGGTGTTCAGAAAGAACCAATCACTCCATAATTATAAAATCTAATTATGTCGAAATTGGATTGCTATTGTTCCGTCTGGCAATTTCTATAAAACTGCAGTTTTACTCTGAATGAAGGTGTTGATGGAATGTGTATCACGTGCACGTGCTTAGTTTATTACTGCAGTTGTGCAAAAGCCTATTCCCTATTGTTTCAAACAATGTGCATATGTGTGTGTGTGTGTGTGTTCTGGGGAAGACAGTGGTGATAAATGGCACATGTATATCAGTTTATCGATAATCTGAAAAGCAACAACTTTGACAAAGTGGATGAATGTCATGATGACCTTATTATCCTGCTGCTCTTCCTGTGACTGTATCGCCTCCGAGGGCTGATGGGTATCTTCTATACCACGTACCAAATTCAGATTATTTCAGTCAATCATGAATCCAAGGTTTGAGGATGAAACCATGGATGACCGGATCGATATATTAAGATTTTGAGCTTTAGAGTCTATTAATAGATTTTATTATAACTTGGTGTTGGCAAAGTAGAATCTGTCTATCTTGGTCTTTACATGGAATAAGTGATCAAATTCCTCTAAAAAAATAAGGGAAAAAGAAGCTTGATCTCTCTAGCTGCCAATATGAAGAATGAGAACCTCCATTGTACTACCGGTACACCCAGAAGAGAAAGGATCCTGATGTGGCGTTGAGGGACTTGGTTGTTTTCATGGTGATGGCCTCTGACAACATAATTATGCATTGTATCTCACTTTGCACGGCTCGCCAAACCGCATCAGCTACAGCTCCGAATCCAGGATCCCAGCGGCAGAGGAGCTGAGGGAGGTAAAAGCAGGACGAGGGGGCGGGGGGGCTTTACAGCTCGGGGCCTGAAGCTAAGAAAAATGAATCGCAAAGACTGTAGAAGGAAAGCCCGACGCCGAAGGGGGGATGGCGCAGGGATGTCAGAGAAGCGTCAGTGGGCCCTCACTTTGCATCAGCGTCAGATTTAGGGCTCTGGCAGTGAGAGAAGGGACCGAGGCACTGAGGGGCGAGGGTGGCAAAAGAAAGAGTGAGGGCAGAAGAGAGGGGAGTGATCATCCTGAAGCCAACTCCACTGCACATGACTGGAGGGCCCCTTTAGGAAGTGGTAACATGATGAAAGATGATGATGAAAGTCAGCCGACAAACAATGGGACCAGGCCTTCGCTGAAAGCATCAATAATTAAACAGTGCTAAGTTCTTTCACGTTTAGAGTCCTCAGCACAACTCATGCTGGAAATGTAGATAAAAAATAGAGTTCTGAGTCGCAGCAAACGCTTTGGTCCGCGCCGGCGTTTGGGAAGCTGTGCTGCGGTGTGACAGGGCACATGTTTTCGTTTGTTTTCTCTGTTTAGCGAAGGCTGTGTGTGATTACAGCAGTGAGACGAGCCGTCTGGTGTCCTTTAAATGTGGGGGTCGGGAAACACGTTTGAAAAAATGATTAACACGACATGCCCGAAAACTTTAAAGCTGCAATATAAAAACAAGCGAGATAAAAGACAAAGAGGAAAAAAAACTTCATTTCCTCCGAAGAAAAAAAAAACTCCTACAGCTCCTTCTTTGAAGCACTCACAGCCGAAATTGTCTTTGAATGGATCTTTATTCGGTTCAGCT